TGGCCAGCCACCCTGATTTCATCAGGTGGCTGGGAAGTCTTCTAAACTAAAGATAAAAGACATGAGCCCTTCTGAAGGATAGAAAGAACAACAACAATAATTTATATTGAAGAAATAAGCTTAGTTAATAATGAGTCTCATAACGTGACAGGTCAAGGAGCTTTCTCAGCAGAACTCCAATGTTCATTTGGTCAAAGGGAATGTTACGGATCCCGAGTCCATGCTCACGGCTGCCACAGAAGTGACCAAGATCACTGGTGGTGTCGGATGATGGTGCCTCTGTTGTCTGACCACGCAACCGTTTTGCTGCCTGGGTGGCAAAAGCAGTCGTCATACTGCTGCCTTCAGGCAGCAGTATTCCGAAAAGTATTAAGGACCTTGAGTTGCTGCAGTGTAGGAAAAAAGACAGTCATGAATATACAAGAATTGCAACCGTGTAACGCGACAGTAGGCCTGTAGACCCGCGGCGTTAGAATTTCGCGGGATGTACCTAGGTAGCAAAACGAATAACGAATTCTCAGAACATTTTTAAGCACTTTTCTCTTAATTTTGTAACGTTTTCAGTCAATTTTTACGCTCGCAGTCTAGTCTAGCCTATTATAATGGCTATAGCGCACTACCAACGGTTCTAGGTAAATTCTCGCCTAGACTAGCTAAGCACTCTTATCTGGTATTGCCCGGCCCCCTATGGCCTTCACAGCTACTAGGCGACAGGAGTCTTTGCGAGAGTCTTTTTCGAACTTTTGCTCGCGCATTGCTTGGCCTGGGCCTCTATGGCTGCATAGTCCTTATTGACAGCTTTGGGTGGACGTGTTGGGCTGCTCAGTGGACTCGTCCTCTTTCTTAGAATCAGGGACAGGGCGTGGTTCTCTCCCTAAATACTTGTCCTCCATTATCTTGTTCGCGCAGTCCTGAGCCTTAGCGTCATCAAGAGAGGCTGGGTTTCCGCAGCTCTTAAATGCATCTAGACAGAATTGTTTGTCGAATAGAGCATTGCTTGTAGCCTCCATTACTTGGCAGTATTGATCGATGGTTTGGCCGGTGGATTCGGACTTGGACGGGTTTGCAGGCTTTGGCTTCTCGCCCTTGATGCACGCCTCTGATGCGATTTTCCGCTCCTGTTCGCAGTCCTCGCGAGTCTCGCCTGACTTCTTAAGCACCATGTCCTTCATGCACTGGGAAAAAGCACGGTTGCCTGGGACGGCACACTGAGCCTTTTTCTTGCGGGCGTCGTTCCCGTCAACAACAGTTCCGTTCTGCACCTCGACGTCAAGGCAGCCCTTCTTAGCGTCTTCGCGCTCCTTGTTGCATCGTTCGCGGAGGCTGTCCGCCGGCTCATCGCGCTGGGGTGTTTCGAAGCACTTGTCAAACACCTTAACGGACGCCTGGAGGCAGATGTCGTCGCGGCTGCCTGGCGCCGGCGCGTTGCTCTCAGTGCTAACCGGTGCGGCAAGGGCATGTCCCATAAGGGAGGCGAGGATAATAGCAGCGGCTTTCATAGTTGTCAACGTGACTTGCGTGTGTTTTTGAAAAAGAAAGTAAGGTATGTGGCCAAAGGACAGTGATCTTAGTGAGAAGTGAATGAGTTAAATGTGTTGAACGGCTTAAACAGAGAAGGTCTTACGTCGGCTAGTTATTTATACACAGCCGAGCCCTAAACTAATATATGCCATCCTTTAAATCTCTACTTGCTGTGTACAAAGACCTGGGCTTTCATTCCCTCTATCTATGCATCTATGCACTTTAGATAGCCATGAGTCGCAAGAATATCTAGAGTTGTCTTGGAAAAGCCTAATGCATAATATGACGCGCGTGTACATCCCTGTCCGAAACCGCTCTAAGTCATGGGTTCAACATCGTGTCATTTAAGCTAGTGTCTGCTCTATCGATATCCATTATGCGCAGTGTGTTTTGAAACACGGCGAGGCCTATCATGGAATGTAGGGGCGGAAAATGATTTGCATCCGTGGCCATCTTTCATCACGCAAGTGGTCGAGGTCTTTAATTACATACAATACATGAATCATGTCGTGCCCACTGCATGAGAACTAGACGCGCAAGCCTGCAAGAGCAGTAAGTCAATTCTGCCAGGCTATACGTATTTCCTGCATAACGACACTTATTTATCTCATGGGCCACATGCTGACGGTCCGACTGGTAATAATTGTGGAGAACCTTAAGGATTGTGTCAGACAATTGGGGGCCACAAAAAGATCGAGTATAATGGCGCCGAAGGCGCTAATTGTGTTCAATGAGAACAAGTTGGAACAGGAAAGAAAGAGTGGGGAGTTGCTGAGTTGACAGTTCAAGTTTCATGGTTGAGAGGAGCGAAGGTCATTGAAAATGTGGTCTATGGAGTTGTTCTGCCTTAGCTTCCAGTCTTTCGTACTCAGCTATTGCTTCTGGGTCAGCCTTAATGGCTTCAAGATGACAGTGAGTCAAGTACACTTGTTCGAGATCCTTGCCCCTACTCAACGCCACATATGCTTGTCCGTCAGAGACGATGTTAGAATTAAAGGCGACGGTAACAGCTGGCAGTGACAGGCCTTGAACCTTGTGGATTGTCAAACGTAAATGCGTTGTGACTGAAAGCTGCGCACGCTTATACTGCACCCCATTCGTCTGAAAATACGACGAAGTTTTATGCAAGTGCATGACCTGAAATGCATTAGCTGCTTTGCGGGTCTCTCAGCTTCAACGGTAGGGCCAAAGGAAAAAGAACTTACTTGGATACCACTTTAGGCGAATTCAAAACTTAAGATAAAGACGTCAAAATAGGAAGAAAAATCGAGGTGCGACCCTTGAGCCTGCAGTCTCCAATTCATTGGGGTGTAAGGACACAGCAGTCCAACAATTATCACACATAGGGGATGAGGACGCGAGTAATGCATGGCCTTGATTAATGCTTGATGGCCCGAGGGACCCGCATAGCCGGGCAACCTTGCGTCGACACATGATGAGTTTGACAGAACCTGACACGTATAGAGTAAATTGTACCACTGTGACTCTATGATACTTGGAGTGTAAGCGAGCAGGGGGGTCCAAGTTTAAAAGTAGCTTCGCTTTAATCGCGTCAAAATGCCTTTAAAGCGCAATGCATGTGACTAATAACGGGCAAATCACAGCAAAATGTAGCTTGCCATGATACTCCGTACGAGTCACGCCAGTTGTGGGCTGCTACCCGTAAACTCCATGTGCCGTGGAATGCCGCGTTTAACGCCACATGAATTCACAATACGCGGAGTGGCGGACTATGTACAACAGCGAGGAACATGTGCTCATTGAGTCATTCATGGAGTATGCCAAGAGATAAATCAATAGTATCTAATGTCAACAGAGCTTGTCTTGCTTGGTCAAGCCGTGTGCCGCGTAACAGTCTTGACTCTTAACCTGAGACGACATGGAGTCACAAAGAGAATATGAAGAGCGCCCCTGCAGTGGCTTCACGTTAATGTACTCGGCGCCACAATAACTTGACGAATTAGAAGAGTTTACGCGTCCAGCCCACCATAGGTTAACGGGTCTACCTGTGCCAAGCCCTACTAGTACTAGTTGGTAATTTAGCCATTACTACTAGTAACTACCTAAGTTGACATAGTTACTTTAAGCTTCGTATAATAGCTAGCCCTAGAGTTGAGAATATAAAAGTCCAAGTCTTTCATCTTCTCAAAGAGGATATTTTCTATGCTGGCAACGCTGCGATAGAACGAGACGTGTCATGTATGACATGATTGTTTGTCAAAGTGTCAGATTGTGGAGTTGCAGG